ACACACACACACACACACACACACACACACACACACACACACACACAGAGTTCGAGGCACACAGACTTTGAAGGCTGCACGCACGGCCAGGTTCACTTACAGAAGATGCATCGAACGTTTGAACGAACTGTAAGGGCCTCTCTCCTCTGCTCTCGACATGTGCAAAACGAGAGTGAATATTTGTGTAGAATAAGGAAAGATACACCCGCATGACTTTTGTCTTTTGTGAACTTACAGAGTGGTCCCATGCCCTAAACCGCCGAAGGCTGATAGCGATCCGACAGGCCCGTCCTAATGGGGAAATCTCTCCAGATACACTGAATCGCCAAACGCTGATAGCAGGCGCTGTAAGACTTGTCGACTTTCCTAATGGGGCAAGTGACACGGATCGATTTGCTCCATGGGAAAGAAAACGAAAACTCCAAAGAAATGTGTAGGCGGAAAAAAAAAAATTAATAAAAAAAAAAATGCATTCTTTTTTTTTTTTTTTTTTTTGTGGAAAAAATGCATTCTCCTTTTCTACAGAAAAAGAAAAGACAGAAAAAGTGTCACACCGGATAGGAAGTACTCGAAAACATTTTAAAAAAGTTTCATACGTAGACATAACCTTTGGCCTGTTAAACCACCTGTACTTCCTGAAGTCGTGCCAGTTAACAAGCCACGATTTTAGGAAATGTACGGGTCACTACAGGACTGCCCAAATTCATCCGACTAGAAACGTTTCTACTCTATTTTTTTCCACGGCCGATAGCTGGGCCAAGTACTCGTGGTTTAATTGGGTGATCAATACTGATTGCGCTTCTTCTTGTAATAGTTGTTCAATGCTCTCAATCAATCATGAAAGCCATTAGTTGGTGTGAGTTCTGGTTTTGTCTGGCTTCTGTAGTTCTGGGAAGGAATGAACTTCCTAACAAGTAAATTGAAATAATACTCAAAATTATTAGTTATACGCTTTACTAATATGCTTGGTCTGTTTTTTCTTGTCATTCATTTGAGACGTGGAATGTTTTCATGCCATGTGTGTGTTTGTCCGTTTGCCCTTGTCAGCTCTGTCGCTGACCGCTTCATGTTAGAAACACTTCACATATCTCTCTGTGTGTGTGTGTGTGTGTGTGTGTGTGTGTGTGTGTGTGTGTGTGTGTGTGTGTGTGCGCGGGCACACTTACCCTTATGCTACATGTGCTTTCGCTGTGATTGCTCCCGTTGGCGATCACAACTGGGTCATAAAGCATGGTGCACTCAATTTGACCTGTCTTCCCCAGCTGTTGTTCTGGTACGTGAAAATGTCTATTTGTTTGCTTGGCTATTTCAAATTATGTCTTTTATTGATGTCTATTTGATCTTTTGGTACATTCCTCTGAAACGTCAGGGGTAAGAAGGTCGGGAATGAGGGAAGAAGTCTTGAAAATGTCCATTTAGTCGTTGATCTTTCTTTTTTATGTTATGAGAAGATGGTTTTTTTTTTGCTTTTTTTTTTTGAAGAAAAGATGGAACCCCTCTCCTTCCCCTCCCCCTCCCCCTCCCCGTTCCCCCTGCCCTCCCCGTTTTTTTGTTTTTAAAGGGAAAAGGTGGTTTTGGTCATCATTACATGAGGTGTCTTGCTTTTCTTTCGTACGTGTCGTACCGTATGTCTCTTATGTAGAGAGCTTTGAAAAGCCGAAGAGATGCTGTTCTGAATGATATGACGTGGAGGCTAGACATGAAGAGTTTGTTGGATTCGTATCCAAGTCTTGATGTTACAGATGGACCTTCTGGGGAAGAGTGTGTTGCATGCAGGAGACGTGGACATCCAGCCGCATATCAGGTGAGAGAGCTGGCAGAGCCTCCAGGAGAAACGTTTCTGCTCCTGTCTATGTGTGTGCGTCTCAGTATGGCTGTTCAGGTGGTTGGGTGGGACCATCATGGATGTTTGTTCTTTATCACGCTCCAAGCAAAACGAAAAGATTTGAGTTTTATTAATATGTTAGGTCTAGATAAAGGCTGTGTTCGTTGAGCTGAGAGAAGGTTAGCATCTCCCTCGATAAGGACAGGAATAGTATACGGAGTATTACGGACTATATGAACTCGTACGGTTTAGGCTAACCACCCTTGGGTGGTCCAACACCCCAAAAAAAAAGAAAAAAAAAGAAAAAAAAAAAGGTCTAGATAGAGGGGGTTTGAGATTCATGTTGGGTCTAGACCAATTTAGTTCCCTCCGTGTCTGAATTGACTCCATCCAACCGTTTTCTGCGACGAGCTTCCCTTCTATTTGGAAATTGTGCAGAAATTAAAAAGACTTATACAACAGTCTCATGTATACACCCTTGGGAGGTGATGGTCACCCAACACCTTTAACAGGTATGGCTTCCTCTCTCTCTCAAC